GAAATATGTACCAGAAATTGCCAAAATCCACCAAAATTGTGTTCAAATGGCCACAGGATGCTGCAACCATCAATTAATGCAAGCCAAATGCCAAGTGCCCAAAATGCAATCATGTAACCACAGAGTGGGATATACATCCATTGAAACTTCAAAACCATGTCATAAATACCTTTTAGGGTGCCCCTTGTAATTTCAAACAATCTCAAAGCAATCTTTGCTAAGCAAGGGCATATTGTAATACCCAAAGACAGAAATGCTTATTTTCAGAATAGCTGAAGGGCCATCAGCAGGCTTGTACAAGTGGTATGTTCTATACGTCATTGTATGTATCCCCTCCTACATAAGTTGTAAGCCGCCCTGAGTCCCCTCAGGGAAAAGGGCGGCCTATAAATAAACTTATACTACTATACTAAGTGTGCTCTGGTTTTAGTAGGTTCACATGAAATACAGGATAAATCCTCCTAAGGGTCTTTGGCAACTCCAATTTTACTGATACAGGATTTATGATTTTCACAATGGGAAATGGACTCATGTATTTTGGGCCCAGCTTCTTCGATTTCTGGGTAGTCTGCAGAAACATGGTGGACAAAAACACCCTATCCCCAACTTGGTACTCTTTTGGCTTAGCCCTTTTTTATCTGCCTGTTTTTTGTGAGCTTGGTGCGCCGCGTCTAAAGCTTTGTGGATCATGGGCCAAAACTACCAAAGTTGATTACTCCACTCAGATAAGGATAAAATTTGCGGTTTTTCTTGAGGCAATTCAGGAATCAGCACAAAGTCCTGACCAAACACAACTTTAAAAGGGGTCATTCCAGTACTGCTGTGCACTCAATTATTGTACGCCACCTCTGCATGTGGTAAACGTTCAGCCCAATTATCCTGTTGATAATTGATAAAACATCAAAGGTACTGGTCTAGAACCGAGTTAGCTCATTCACAAGCCCCATTAGTCTGTGAATGATGGGTGGAGCTTAGTCCCTGGGCAGAGCCAATCAATTTCAGGAACTCTTTCCAAAAGTGGAAGGTGAATTTGACACCCCCCCCCATCCGAAATAATGCCTTGAGGCACTCCATGCAACCTATATACATGTAAAATAAACAGTTTAGCCAACGACTTCACTGATGGGATCTTGGAACAAGGCACAAAATGGACCTGCTTGCCAGATGGGACAACTGGCTATGTAGGACTCAATGTCTTTTTTCAAGGAAGGCCACCAAAATTGCCTCTTAATCAAATACAAAGTTTTTACAAATCCAAAATGGCCCACCATACTCGAATCATGGGGTCGTTGAACAACAACAGGTTTCAGGCTGACAGGAACATACAATTTCGCTCCTACCCAAGCCAGTCCATCTTTCATGGTGCATTCATCAGAATGTTTTTTGAACCAGTCATCGGACCCAAGATCTTCCTTAAGTTTGTCCATCAAGTCAGTGGTCACATCCAAGTCTACTGGGCGCTGGCTCCTAGTAACCATTGGGGCAGCCAGATTCTTAGCTGGGATGACTGGATGAACCACGGTAGGCCTGGGACTATTGTACTGGGGAAGCCTGGACAAAGCATCAGCCATAAAGTTCTTCCCTCCTGGGATGTATTTGAGGGTAAAGTTGAAACAGTTGAAATGCTGTGCCCAGCGTATTTGTTTAGGTGATAGCTTACGTGAGGTCTTCAATGCTTCCAGATTTTTATGATCAGTCCATACTTC